TATTTTTTCCAAGAGTGGACAAAAGATTATTATTCTTGGACAAATATGGACATATTGTGGACAATCTAATGCCATATAGATTTTGTCAAAATTCGCATTTAGGGGTGCCAACTTCACGCAGCTGTACAGCTAAAATCATCGGTAATGTCATCGCTCTTTAATTATCTCCGAGCCCACTTGACAATTACGAAAATTTACCTTTGGCCGGCCGTCTTTAATGATCCTCGTTGGTGTTGTAACTCGTCAATGTCGCACGCATACATTATGTATGATATTTGCAAATTCATCTTTCTCTTATACTAAAGCACTTAGGCAGTTTAGTAAAAGCACTACAGCACTATTTTTTCATGAAATCCCGATCGCGAATCAAGCTTATAATATGTATATTATATATTTGAGCCAGCAGCGCCAATTGTTTCTTATATTAAATATCTTTTATTATGAAATGTTTTTTTAATTTAACATTTATTTTGTTCTATTAAGCCACTTTGCCTTATTGAAACACACGCACCTTGTTTGTATATTTAAGAATTTCTTATAAAAATATATACTGAAAGATCACATTTTTCTTATAAAACACTTGTTTCATAATATGCTTCGATAGTTACAGAATATTATATTCTATTGGGCATAATATATTTTTAATATCAAAATATGATTTTAAAAAATTACGTGATGCAGAATATTTTATTCTATATTTTGGTCCGATTTTATGATATCATAATTTCTGTTCTTCTTCTAAAATAGTTTGGCATTCAGAAAACAAAATAAGGAAATGAAATTTTTTATTTTATACACTTTCCTACTTCTTGTATGTATTAAACGGTTATTTTTTATAATGGCCTCGAATCTACGCGATGCAAGAGTGCATAATGAATCTAGTAACAATTATGTCATCAGAAACTAATTTTCGTATCGAAAATATCGTTAATTTTTATTGAAATATGAAATAAATCTTTTTCAATGAAATTAATTGATAAAGATTGACTTATTTTGATGAAAACCGATATTTACAAATATCACTATGCCATTTAAATCTATTAACATATACAATCTCGTGTAATTACTATCTTATAATGCAACATACAGCTAGGTATCGTCATGATAGGTAATACCGAGAAGTGTTTCCCCTTCCATCGTAATTTTTCACTATAAAATGCGCGCACATCGTGTACGTAATCTATAACGTTCTACGCAGTGTCCGACGAAGCATCTCGTTTATCTGTTGTTCTGCTACATCACGATGGATTTATCAATGCTTTCGTCGCCTTTTGCGCTACTGTTGAGTACTCTAATCGTCCTTGGCGTTGTGAAACTTGTCACTCTGGTGAAACACACATATTTTTACTGGAAAAGTAAGGGCTTACCTTACTTGCCAAAATCGATATCAACTCTTGGAACAGATTTAAAATTGTTTTTGGGCCATATCACTTTTACCGATTATTGCTTATATTTATACAACTACTATCCAGATGCCAAATATGTTGGAATAGTGGATTTTTTCAAGCCTGCCCTGCTTGTGCGCGATCCCGAACTGATTAAAACTATCGTGGTGAAAGATTTCGAACATTTTCCGGATCATCGCAGCTTCGTTGACGAAGACGTGGAACCGTTGTTTGGCAAGAACATCTTTTCTTTGCGCGGCGATCGTTGGAAGGAAATGAGGAATACACTAAGCCCCTCTTTCACAGCCAGCAAGATGAAGTTCATGTTCGATTTACTATCGAAATGTTCTCACGATTTCGTCAACTATTTAATCGACCACCACGACCAATATCACGAAATCGAAACGAAGGAAGCCTTTAGACGATACACCACCGACGTAATTGCTACAGCAGCCTTTGGCATAAGTGTGAATTCTATGAAAGATCGAAACAACGAATTCTTTATAAGAGGAGTGGAGGCTACCAAATTTCCTACAGGAGTAGGAGCATTGGCCAGATTCTTCATTTTACGCTATCTTCCATGGATTGCTAAAGTATTTGGTGTGGGTTTCTTTCCGCCGGCTACAACCAAGTTTTTCAGGAAGGTCATAAAGGAAACAATTAAAACGCGACAAGAACAAGGTATCGTCAGACCGGATATGATCCATTTGCTAATGCAGTCTTTGGATAAGGAAGGTGACCCAAAACACAGTGCACACAAACTGTCAATAGACGACGTCGTTTCGCAAGCTTTTATCTTTTTCTTTGCGGGCTTCGACACCGCTTCAACTCTGATGTGTTTCGTCGCTCACGAACTGGCGGTTAATCAAGACGTTCAGGATCGTCTGCGCAAGGAGGTACTGCAGTATCTTGCCGAAGGAAACGATGAGATTTCTTACGAGTCGCTAACGAAGATGACTTATATGGACATGGTGACTTCTGAGGCTCTTAGAAAATATCCACCGACGGTTTTCCTTGATAGACTTTGCGCTAAGAGATACGAGCTGCCTCCATCGCAACCAGGTGGCAAGTCTGTGATCGTTGAACCTGACGATGCGTTGCTGTTTCCTGCTTATGCTATGCAACGCGATCCGAAATATTTTCCGAATCCGGATAAATTCGATCCCGAGAGATTTAGCGAGGAGAACAAAGACAATATATTATCATGCTCTTATCTGCCATTCGGCCATGGTCCCAGAAAGTGTATCGGCAATCGATTTGCACTTATGGAAACTAAGATTCTGATCGCTCATCTTTTACAAAAGTTTAATTTGAAAACTACGGATAAGACCGTCGAACCAGTTGTATTCACTAAAAATGAATTTTCGTTGAAACCTGTTGGAGGATTTTGGATTCGCTTGGAAAAGAGAGAAACATAAAAATCTTGTACTAGATATATTATTCTAAAATATATGTAGGTTTTCCGAAAAATACTAAATTTTTAAAATTTTACGCTTTCAAATATAATTGAAATAAGATGAGATTTAGTTGCAATGCATTTTACATTATCATGCGAAGCATATGCTCAAGTAGAATGCTAAAATTAAGTTTTTATTAATGAAAAATAAAAGAAATTATATATTACGATAAACATTATACTTGCTTTTGAGCCTACTCGATCTTATTGATCGTTTTAACGGTTTATATAATTTCCACAGATTATCTAAAGTAGATATGATAACGTTAATATCTTATATAAAATCGAAAATATATTTAACGCGCAAACATCTATCGAACATTTTTAATTTTGAATTAAATTTCATGTTTTTTTTATTAGTACAGATTATATTTACTAATTTAGATTTCCTTGTAATTTGTTGTAAAATTAAGCAAGCATTAAACAAGGATATAAATTAAGTATTTATAATTTTATTATTTTTTATTTATTATACTTTTTAAAAAAAGTGTAGATAAATAAGATCATTAACAATTGATGCAATTATGCTTGTATCACATACATCATAATTATAATTATAATATTTTTAAAGTTTTTTGTACAATTTCTTATAACACTTTTATTAAAGTTTTAAGAAATTATTAAAATGAAAAGTTAATATTTTGCACATATTATTTTATCAGTTATAAAAGGTCACTTGAAAAAGATTGTATAAAGATGTATACCAATATACAGAAAAATCTTTTTTTCTTTTTCCTGAATGCTTTATTACTTTCTGATTCTCTCCTTCTCGTTCTTTTTCTTATTTGCTTTCTCCTATACTCTTCCTATTTGGCTCTCCTTAAGCTTTCTCATTTTCTTTCTCTTATTGTCGGTCTCATCCAAAATCAATTAACGACAGAAAATTTTTAATAGTGAAACATGATAACATTAATTGTATAATGTATTTTATTTGGGACGTTTTTTTTATATTATAACTACATTTTTTTTAATTTGGCGCTCACAGAATAAAGTAAAAAAATGAAATCTTTTATTTCATACATCTTTGCAGTTTCTAATGTATAGGTGTTAATTATTTCTCGTAATTGCTTTGGATGTTAAACCTACAAAGCAAGAAACGTATGATAAATCCAGTAACAATTACGTACTCAAAAACTATGTATTTTCGTATCGAAGGCATCGTCAATTTTCCTTGAAACATGAAATAGACTTTTTTGAAATAAATTATAAAGATCGATATAATAAAGATTGACTTTTGATTGAAGCCACGATGTTCAAAAAGTATTGTTATACGTAAATCGACTAATATAGTTACTGACGTAGTAACTATCGTATCTCTATGGTATCACGATAGTTATCTACCACAGTATGTATCATGATACCTAATATGAGAAATGTTTTCCCCACCCATCGTATTTTTTCACGATAAAAACTGCGCACACGTCTCACGTATGTATCATACATCTACGCAGTATCCGACAAAGAATCTTCTTTGTGTGTACTCTGTCGCATCACGATCACGGTTGCCACCTTAAAAAAATATTAATATTAAACAAAGATATAAATTAAGTATTTCACTTATTATACTCCTTAAAAAATGTATAGTTTGCAAGCGACAATATATTTTTCAAATTTCAACTTAGATAATATAATATATATTTTTTATAGATACACTACGTATGTAATAAGTAAATTAAAATTATTTGTTAAGTTAGCTTTCCCATTTCTAATATAATTAATAATTTCTCCTAATGACCTCGGATGTTAAATCTGCAGAGCAAAACGTATGATGAATCTATGGTAACAATTACGTATCAGACATTATTTTCGTATCAAAGGCGTCAATTTTTGTTGAAACATGAAGTAGATTTTTTAAATTAAATTTGTAAAAATTGACTTTTGATTGAAGTCACAATATTCAAAAAATATCGTTATGGAAATCGATTAATATATCTCGTACATCTACTGATATGACATATATCGTCGTTAATAATGCCGAGAAGCGCTTCTCCCCTTCCATCGATATATTTTTTCTTTCACAATTAAGTCTGCGCATGCGCATTACGTATATATTTAGAACTTTCTACGCCGTGTTCGATGGAGCACATGTCAGTTTGTCTGATATGTCGTTAAGATCACGATGGATTCATCATTGCTTCCGTCGCCTTTTGTGCTATTACTGATTACATTGACCTTCATTAGCGTTCTTAAAATTATCGCTCTGCTGCATCACACATATTTTTACTGGAAAAATAAAGGCCTTCCTTATTTACCAAATTCGCTGTCATCTTTTCTAGTGAGTTGGAAATGGATTTTGGGTTACATCAGTTTAACCGATTATTGCCAATGTTTATACGACTACATCCCAAATGCTAAATATATTGGAATAGTAGATCTTTTATCGCCTGCCGTGTTTGTGCGCGATCCCGAACTGATTAAAGACATTATGGTGAAAGATTTTGAACATTTTCCGGATCATCGTAACTTCGTTGACGAAAATGTAGATCCATTTTTTGGCAAGAACGTCTCCTCCTTGCGGGGGGATCGTTGGAGAGAAATGAGGAATACATTAACCCCCACTTTCACAGCAAGCAAAATGAAATTCATGTTTGATTTACTATCGAAATGTTCTCACGATTTCGTTGACTATTTGGTCGACCATCCGGAACTTTGTCATGTGATCGAAACGAAGGAGGTCTTTAGACGATACACTGCCGATGTAATTGCTACGGCAGTCTTTGGCATAAGTGTGAATTCTATGAAAGATCGAGACAATGAATTCTATATAAGAGGAGCGGAGGCAACTAAATTTCCTACAGGACTGCTAACAATAGCCAAGTTCATGATTTTACGCGCGTGTCCGTGGCTTGCTAAATTAATTGGATTGACTTTTTTTCCGTCGAGGACGGCCGAGTTTTTCAAGAAGATCGTACGGGAAACAATTAGAGTGAGAGAAGAACAAGGTATCATCAGACCGGACATGATTCATTTGCTAATGCAGTCTCGCGATAAGCGAAGTGATACTGTACACAAAATGTCATTAGATGACATTGTTTCGCAAGCTTTTATTTTTTTCTTTGCCGGCTTTGAAACGTCTTCGACCTTGATGTGTTTCATTGCTCATGAATTAGCGGTTAATCAAGATATTCAAGATCGTCTGCGCCAGGAGGTACAGCAGCATCTTGCCGAAGGAAGCGGTGAAATTTCTTACGAGTCTCTAACGAAGATGTCTTACATGGATATGGTGGTTTCCGAGACTCTCAGAAAATATCCACCGAACATTATCCTAGATAGACTTTGTGCTAAGAGATACGAATTACCTCCATCGCAACCAGGTTTTAAAAGTGTGATTGTCGAACCTAACGATATATTGCTGTTTCCTGCTTATTCTTTACATCGCGATCCGAAATATTTTCCGAATCCGGACAAATTCGATCCCGAAAGATTTAACGAAGAAAACAAAAACAACATATTACCATGCACTTATATACCGTTCGGTCATGGACCCAGAAAGTGTATCGGCAATCGATTTGTTCTTATGGAAACAAAGATCCTAATAGCTCATCTTTTGCAAAAGTTTACTTTTAAAACTACGGATAAAACCGTCGAACCTGTCGTATTTACTAAAAAGGAATTTATATTAAAACCTGTTGGCGGATTCTGGATTAACTTGGAGAAGAGAGAAACGTAAAAATCTTGTACTAGACGTTATTCTACGATATTTAATATATAGTTTATTTGGAAAAATATTTACATTTCGAGAACTTTCAAATACTTTATGCTTTCAAATATATTTGAAATGTGATAAGATTTATTTGCAATGTATTTTACATTATCATGCAAACTGTATTAAGTAGATTAATTAAAATGTTAAATTTCAGTTTTTTAAAATGAGAAATATGAAATTTAAATATTAACCTTTTATACATTTTTTTGCTGTTTATTGAAAATATATTTTATTAGATGTTAAATCTATCAATACAAGAAACGCATGATGAGTTTAATAACAATTATATAATCATCAACTATTTTTATATTGAAGGCGTCATTAATTTTCATTGAAACAGATTTTTTAAATTAAATTAGTAAATATTGATTTTTGATAGATGCCACAATATTAAAAGATAGCTTGTGTGTAAATTGACTAACGATTTTTATGCAACTACGAATGTGATACATCATCGTAATTATTTCCAGAAGCATTTCCCCCTCCTATCGTTTTTTTCAGTAAAACCTTCGCGCACGTCCGCGTACACATTAGAACGTTCTACGCAGTGTTCGACGAAGCATTTCGATTTGTGTATTACTCTCTCGCTTCACGATGGATTTATCATTGCTTCAGTCACCTTTTGTGTTATTATTGAGTACGCTTATCGTCATTGGCGTTCTGAAAATTGTCACTCTGCTGCATCGCACATATTTTTATTGGAAAAATAAGGACCTACCTTACCTGCCGAACTCGTTATCATCTTATTTAATCACTTGGAAATTGCAATTGGGTTACATCAGTTTTACGGATTATTTCCAGTATTTGTATAACTACTTCCCAGATGCTAAATATGTTGGAATAGTGGATTTTTTCAAACCTGCCGTTCTTGTGCGCGATCCCGAATTGATTAAAAACATCGTTGTAAAAGATTTTGAACATTTTCCGGATCATCG